GGCAAACATCAACGCATCGCACAATCACACCCATTCTGAAGAGTCTAACTACTGTTTGGATGTTTTTTTGAGGAGCGCCACAACATTCATTTCAACAATTCCCAACAGTTCAGTCCGTGTCTGTTTTCTGCGCTCTTCTATCCTTTTTACCTGAGTAGTGTTTATTCATTACTGCGTTCGATGCTAAGTCAGATTTTTGTTTACTTGCATCGATTTCAGAATGCACGGACACAATTTGAGCAATAGAGTCCAGACGAGATTGGAAAGTTGACGAGATTCAAACGGCTCAAACTTATTACCCAGTATTTGGCCATCCTTTTGGCTTATGGTCTCGCTTGCTGATTTGAAGCTAAGCATGCTAACACCCTGGTAGCGATTGAAAAGCATCCGCATCTTTGACCGTTGATTTCCGCATTGATATGACTCTCATCAATGCTGCCCTCTTCAACGCTGACGCTCTATTCTGTAGTGAAAGGTTAGTCAGTTGGTGGGCGTGCCACGTTGATAGCGCCGCAGGTACGACCATGCTAAGTTGTTATCCTTCGCTGCGAAGCGTGTTGGCCCGCACCCTTCAGAGGCCCGCCCACATTTTATGTAGGCAAAGTAAATTGAGGTCCATATTCCCTTTCTTTACCTCCGAATGATGCTATCCTTCAATTTTCAGCAAAAACTACTTCAATGGGTAGAACCCAGACTTTGCATCAATAATATGACGTGCGCTTCGCAAGGCCTGACAATGTGATCTGTTTGGGGTGGAACGTTTGCATGTATACGATTGCGGCACTAATCAACTAACAAAAGGTCAAAAGCCCAAAAGATACATAACAAATAGGTAAGAATTTAGTACTCTGTCGTAATCCCGTTACCATTCATCTCGTGTCAGAATCTAACAGTGTGAGGTAAGACTGTGGGATAGCTTTCCAGGCTTACTTCAATCTGAGAGAAATTTTCGACCGAATTCCTTGCTGTTGTGCCTTTTACGCGGCGCTCCAGCTCGTACCATAAATGCTCAATCGGATTTAAATCCGGAGACTGACTTATCCGGTCAAGCAATTGCACATGGCCGTGAGTAGAAAAACCAGTCGCGAATGGAGCCTAATAAAAAAAAGAAAAAAAAAAGAAAAAAAAGAAATGTGTACGTTGGGTCCTTATCTTGTTCAAAATGAATCCTCTGCCAATGGACTGGAGTGCAAATTTACGCACAGTTTTCGTTTGAGATATTTTCAAACCACTATCTATCAAGATCTCAACGAATTTGGAGACCGATTTTCGTGATCACTGAAACATCCCCAAAGCATCACATTTCCTCCAACATGCTTCACAGTGGGATACGAAGGATGGAATTTTCTGTCAACTAAACATCGAAATACCTGATACCGTCACTACCCATCCTGAACGCGGATTCATCAGAAAATAGAACATTAGTTCACTGTTCGGCGAGTCCAACCAGTACGCCACTGAGCCGCACTTGACACGATTCTTCTCGCAATCAACGGCTTCTTCGCAAGACACCTTCCAACAAGTCCGGCAGCTTGTAGACGTCTCCGACGCCTAGTTCTTGTTGGAAGAGTCTGTTCGCTGCCGGCGGCCGATTTCCTCTAAATTTCGAAGGCAGTGAGCTTGGCATTACCACGACTCAATCGAAGGATGTTCCTATCGATAACTCGTGAGGTCATATGGCTTCATCGGAATTTATCGCTACTGCAAACGCTCCATCTGCTCAGAATTTCTTCAGAAAAAGCAGTTGCTCTAGGAGCGTCAAAAATTTTTTTGCTATTTGGACTTGCTTCATTCCTCTTCAATTCCTCGTAGAACGAAGTTGCGGACACCAACTGGCATGTGGTGTGCATCGAACGTCCTAGCCATATTCTGAATACCATACATACAAAGCAGTATAATAAAAAACTCGGGGAAAGAACGCGAAAATGCATTAAGTAAACTAAGGACCTAGAAAGCGGAAGGAGGGAATTTTCAGTTTTTCACGAGTACTAAATCTTCAGAGAAAGCTATATGAATCCGTTTGCGACAACAGGTTTCCTGCCTTATATAACACAAACCTGTTCCAAATTTGGGGTTGATTCAGTAATTTTTTGAAGAAATTCTCAGAAAACCATTTGCTAATTGAATTTTGGCCACCACTGTCCATACTATATGCACGCATACATATTTAACCCAAGCTGCAATATTGATTAGTCTAGCTAGTGCTGTCAGCCTACCAGCTGAATAGATTTTCATCAATGTGCTGAGTATGCGGCCTCTTTTATAAGTGATGAGAGCTAGTAAAAGAGAAATCCGACAAAAAAAACAAATACCGAACAATAAATAAAAAAACATTTGGCTTTCCTAAGGATGTCCACCTGTGTTATCATAGCTTGAAGGATTCAACCTACACGTCCTTTTCGACCTCTGTTACTCTTGAAACACTTTTGGAAATCTTTATTCATCCTGCTATTCGTTCATACACCTGAGGCCTGAAAAGGATCACAAGTTTGGTGTGACTATAATGCAGAAGTGGTAGATATTGTACCTGAACTTGCTCAACTCCCACAGCAGGGACCAAAGAAGCAGTCTCATTTTTTTCATTCATCCTCAGCTCTGACATGGACAATTCACTAAACTCTAAACGGTTTTCCCAATTGCATATTGAAAAGCACAAAATAAATAAAATGCTCAGCACAAACGACACCTGAAGATTTTGCCAGGAGAACACGGTGCGCCAGATGGACAGCCTCCAAGACTATAGAAATGCACTTCGATCATAAATCATAGCAATATTGTTCGAAAATAGGCGGAGGAGACTGACGTGATCAGATTCACGGTCCTTGAGAACTTGCTTACCAGTGATTTGATCGAGAAATTCATGCAGCAGGTTAAGGCTGAAGCAATTTAAATTGGCCTCCCTGAAATAGTCGGCTTATATTCCAGAGATTACCAGGTTAATGGACATTGCTCCTGCATCGAGGCATTTTGCTGTGAAACTTCCATCCGAATCGGGTTCCTGTGAAGCGTAAAATAAGGCTAATGCGTCAAGAGCGAAGGAGCATTTCGGTTCCCGGTGACAAAGTACAATGGCCCCTATCACATTATTTCATCATCTTGGCGGTACGAAATCATCCCGACCTCAAATTTGTTTTAAAGTTACATTCCGCGATAGCAAGAGAAACAGGATAATGGTTTTTAATGAAAACCTCAATGCTTACTGACCTGCCAGTGGAGCAGAAAGAAAAGAAACCACCGAATGCCCCCTGTCGCCCGGCCCGGGCGCCTTCTTCCCCGCCATACCCATAAACATCGGGGTTCACAATGCGAAGGAGCGGCGCCAGGGTCGGCGTGAGAGCTTGCAATCAGGGACTTATGCTGCGCTCGCTGCTCGCCACTTCGCCACGCAGGTTTGCTTAGGTAGGCCCTAACAGCGCCCTCCGACGAATAAGACTTGTTGTAGGTTTACCTTGCCTACGAATACGCCTAATGACTTTATCCTTTTTGGGTCCCATGGCCCCACAATGATTTC